AATTTGGGGTGCAGATTCTGTGAAGATATTATTTGCCTCATGATGTGGAGATAACCCCATGATCTTTGATGCTGGAAGTGGATTGATACCCCAAGATATATACCGTGTTTCCCCGAAAATAAGGCCCTGTCTTATATTTTTTGAACCCTGAAATAAGCGCTTGGCCTTATTGCCATGCACTCAAAAGCCCGATTGGGCTTATTATCAGGGGATGTCTTATTTTGGTATTTATATCAGCATTTGCTGTCTTTTAAATTCTTTGCTAGTTGTGAGTGAAAGGGCTGAAATGGAAGTTATTTATATCAGCATTTGCTGCCTTTTAAATTCTTCATTAATTGTGGGTGAGAGGACTGAAATGGAAGTTGTCCCATGTTTGATAAGGTCCTAGAACTGACGCTTTTATCAGGCATTTTGAGGGAAGGCTGGAGAAAGGCACACCAGCAGCAACTGCCTTTAGAAAAGAATATTTGTAGCTCAGGGTTGAGCTGTGGGGTCCTTGGTGCTCCCTGAGCTTGTTTGTTTTCTTGCAGACTTCTCATGACGAAGCTAGGTAACATCATCAGTGCTACCACTGCATTTCTCCACCATTTCAGTGCATTGTAAAAAAGAACCATGTGTGCCAGCTGGACAAAGCAGCATTTCATTTGATGGTCCCTGCGTACTCATATCCTCATATTTCTCCATTTCTATGCAGTTTTTCATGCTCTGGACTAAGAGGGCCTTGCTGAAATCCCTGCAGCTCCCATCACACTAAAGACTGCTAGAAACCGAAGTTCAAAATTAATTGAATAAATTTAAACATATTACAGGATGATAGAACTAGAGGGGGTTTTGGCCTACCAGCGTGGGAAAAATACTATAAGGCAGCGAGTTTGACATGGATTAAGGATTGGGTCAATTTGGACAATTATAGACTATTAAAATTGAAAGGCCAGGATTTATTAAAGGGGTGGCATGCCTTCTTGTGGAACGCCAGGAACAAAACATATAAACACTTCAAAAATCATATGATAAGAAATTCACTAATTGGCACTTGGCTCGAAATTAAAAACAAACATTATATGAAGGTTCCCGGCTGGATATCCGCATTGGAGATGGCAATGCACCCCAATACACCCCAATACACCAGACCCCCATAAATTAATAAGATATAAAGAATTACTGGATCCCCAAGGAAGATTAAAAACACGGCAGGAACTTAGGGAGCAAGGTATAGAAATAGATTGGTGGCCCTACCTACAAATACAAACTAGATACAATATAGATAATGAGGAAGGAGGAATCGAAACAAATTCCCAACCGGCTAGACAAATTATTAGGAGCTAAAGATGGAAACTTGATTTCAAAGATTTACAAACACTTATTAGAATTCGACCTAGCAGAAAATCTAGTCAAAGGACAAATGATAGCCTGGGCAAGGAATATTGATAAAAACATACAATTGGAAGAATGGGAAAGGGTATGGGAAACCAACTATAGAATTTCAAAATCGGTAGCATAGAAAGAGAATCACTACAAGATGTGGTACAGATGGTATCTAGCTCCTGCGAGATTGGGGAGGATGTATGCAAATCTTAATCCAACGTGTTGGAAATGTAAGCAAGCACAGGGAACCTTCTTTCATGTCTGGTGGCTTTGCCCAAAAATTAAGAAATATTGGATAAAAATAAAAATTTGGATATCAGAAATAATTGCGGAGGATATTGAGCTAGAACCAGAAATCTTTTTGTTAGGAAAGCTTAAACAAAACATTAGAAAAGAAAAAAAGTACCTAATATTACATATAATTACGGCGGCTAGGTTAGCCCTAGCACAAGTCTGGAAAACAGATCAATTGCCAACGGAGCAGTAAATAATTCAAAAAATTTATACATGTGCAGAAATGGATAGATTAACGTTGAAATTGAAAGATAAGGAAGACTCACAGTATTTTAAGGTATGGGATAGGTCATATGAGTGGATAAACCAATGGAAAAGAAGGTAAAGTTAAAATTTAGTAAGAAATTAAAAGTAATAATTATACACCATCATCAAGATAAAAAAGGAAATAAGTCATTGTGTACATTTGTACTTTATATACCACATATACTTGTTTGTTTGTTGTGATTAGTATCGTTGATTGTATTTTAAGATTGTGAATATTTTATATAATTTTATCTTTTTAAATTTAATAAAGTTTGTTTTTTAAAACTAAAACTAAAAAAAAACCCTGAAGTTCAGCAGTATCCGAATGACCACAGATGGCATATTCCACTCTAGACTATCCTGCTGTTCTGAAGGATGTTGTATCACAAGATGTTATTTGACTAGCTGCAGGTAGTCCTTGACTCACAACACGGACCGTTCAAAGTTACAACGGCACTGAAAAAAAGTGACTTATGACTGTTTTTCACAATCATTGCAGCATCCCCATAGTCACGTGATCAAAATTCAGATGCTTGGTAACTGGTTCGTATTTATGTCGGCTGCAATCTTCCAGGTCATGTGATGTGACCATCTTTTGTGACCTTCTCACAAGCAAAGTCAAGGGGGAGGCCAGATTCACTTAATAAAGAGCCTTGGTAGTACAGGGGTATAAGGCACCCTGTTATTAAGCTGGTTATTAAGACCAGCTGCCTGAAATTACTGCAGGGTTCGAATCTCGCCAAGGCTCAAGGTTGACTCAGCCTTCCATCCTTTCTAAGGTAGGTAAATTGAGGACCCAGTTGTGGGGGCAATAAGCTGACTTTGTATAAATATACAAAAGAATGAAGGCTATTGCTGAGCACATTGTAAGCCGCCCTGAGTCTTCGGAGAAGGGCGGCATATAAATCAAATTTAAAAAAAAAAAACTATCCAGGGGTGGGATTCAGCCAGTTTGGACAGGTTCAGACCAGTTCGGGAGAACCGGTAGCTCCGGCAATCAGCTGAGAGCGAACCATTCACTCTGACGATCAGCTGGGCCTGCCCACCCACCCCTGCGCTATACCGATCTATATTTCCTTTGTTTGAAGCCCAGCTGATAGGCGTGGCGGTTTTACTCACCAGGGCTGCAGTAGAAGGTAAGTTTTAGAGCTGTTTTCAAATGCACTGTGTGTGAACAGAGCACAAAGCGCGCGCTCAGCGAACCGGTTGTTACATCGGTTGAATCCCACCACTGACCGTATCACTAATTTAACAATTGCAGTGATTCACTTAAAAAAACTGTGACAAAGAAGGTCATCAAATGGGGCAAAACTCACTTAACACACCTGTCTTGCTTAGCAACAGAAAGGTTGGGCTCAATTAGGGTCGTACATCGAGGACTTCCTGTATATCGGTCACCTGTGAAGCATGGGGAAAAGTAGGGAGGAACTGGGCTTGCTTTATCTATGTTTCCTGCTCATTCTTCCTTTTGTTACAAAGATGTCTGGACAGCATAGTGAAGACTGATGTAGGACATGGAACTGTGAGAAATCTTCTTTGTCTCTCTCTCTCCTTCAGTTTTTTCTTTTGACCTTGGTCTGATTTTGACAAATAGCAACCAAGATGAAACTGTTTCCTGAACTGTGTTAAAGTAGCCTGTTCAATCTGCTGGGAATAGAGTCTGGAGCCTTAAGGTCAGCAACAGATTGAGAAAAGCTGCCTTATACATTGGTTCATATCTGACATCAAGGACATCTGAAACAGATTGTTTCCCTCCTTCCCACATGCTTTTTTTAAATATATATATATATTTCACATCCTCTGATAATTGAGATTGATTATTCTCTTCTCTTGCAGCATCTCATCCGTGTCTAGTCTAATATGAGGTTTTAATTAAAGCGACATTGGGATCAGATAGTCTTTTGTGAAGAATTTGGATAAATGAAGTGTGGGATGTACAAAATGGGTAAGACATTAAGTATCCCCCATTTATATAAATCTGCTGAAGAGCAGTTGAGTAATCACATTAAAGTTCAGCAAGGCTTCCTCCTGAGTAAGGAGGCTTGTTTATAAATTGCAGTATTCCAAAATCTAATGCAAACTCTTTTTTAAAAAATAATATGGTAGCTAGCTCATGCAGTCAACAGGAATCAAAAACTGACTCAAAGGCACAAAATAATATTGTATATTAGTTTTGGATTTAATAAGAAGTATGAGCCATTCAAGATACATTCTACCGATGTCGTTTAAATTGAAAGATATAACTATGGGATTTCCTTTCCCAGATGGTAATTCAGATAATCCTCCAGCTGTCTTTCTGCCTGGGACAGTGGAAGCTGTAGTCCAACGTGTTTGGAGGTGAATGGGTTGAGGAAAGCTGTTAAACACCTTGCATTACAGATTATTTTCGGCTACTCCCCTTATCTGTCTGTTTCCTAACAGCGTAAATCAGCTTTTCTGGGCTTGGTGCCCCTGTAGATATTGGACATACCTTGATGACATATTTATCATCATAGTTCAATGAAAGTCCTAAACTGGGGGATATGGATATGGCATGTTGGTTCTTCAGTGTTTCATTGGAATTCTTATACAATAGATAGATAGATAGATAGATAGATAGATAGATAGATAGATAGATAGAGGTAGATAGGTAGATGATGATGATAAATAGATAGATAATAGACAGATGATGATAGATAGATGATAGATAGATGATGATGATAGATAGATAGATAGATAGATAGATAGATAGATAGATAGATAGATAGATAGATAGATAATAGATATAGATATGATAGATCCCTGCATCTGAATTGAGATTGCTTTGATCCTAATAGCAAAGACCTTTCTTGCAAAGTAGAAAGGTTCAAAATGTACTAAAAAGAGCGTATTCCATTCTTGTTTCCTTTGGCAGACCTACACCTAACCTTTCCCCATACAGGATCTGGCTTGCTTCACTGATCACCCTAATAATCCCTTTTGGTTTTTTAAAATCATGGTTTGGGCACCAAGCCCCCCCCCCATGCCTTGGGCTACTCCTAATCCCCAAACCCCCGTCGTCTTCTCTCCGTCTGATTCCAGCTGCGTCAGAACACCTCCGTGGCCTTCTTCTTTGTCGGAGCTGGAGGAGAATGTCTGTCCATTCAGCCTAACTAACCGATAGGTACCACCACCAAACAGTAGCAGCAGAAGGCAAAGATTCTGTCCTGCTCTCCATCCCCTCCCTCCTTCTGAATCCCTTTAAGAGCACGCATATGATTGGCTGTAGCTATGCAGGGTTTTTCTCCCATTCTTTCTCTCTCTCTCTCTCTCTCCTTCTTCCCCATCACCCCTCCCCGGTTTTTCATCCTCTGTTACTGTGAGTTGTTCAGCTTTGCCACAGCAGCAGCAGCAGCATGAATAATATGCTGGCAACAGCTGTTAGATTTCAAGTTGAGCATCCCTAGATACCTTTGAATAGCAGCTCTGGGAAGGAAGAGAACAGAGAAAGGGAGAAAGGCAGGGGAGGGAAGGGGGGAGAGAGAGAAAAGGAAACCCGATCCCTAAACAAAAAAAGAGAATAATAGCTTTCATCTCCCTTTCTCCCCCTTGCCTTCCCAGTCCCTCAATCAAAGCACGAATTGCTATCGGCGTTTGCAGTCCGTGAAGGTCCACCACCGAGTGAGTAGTGGTGTGGGGTTTTTTGGGGGGGGCAGTCATGTCGAAGCTAGGAACCAAGAGCATGAGGGATGGAGAGACAGACATGTCCTGCAATGGACAAGCCGAGAGCCCTTTTGGATCAAGAGAAGAAGAAAGCAAGCAGAAAGTGGAACCCAAGCAAATAATCGTGTGGAGGAATGTCATCTTAATGGCCTTGCTTCACAGTGGAGCTGTGTATGCCCTTCTTCTCATTCCCAAGGCCCATTTGTATACTCTGATCTGGGGTAAGTTTCTTTCTTTTTTTAAAAGCATTTTCCTCCATGAGCGAAGGTTGTCTTGCTTTCATGAAATTCATGCGATTTGGGGTCCTTTCACAGGTATCTGTTCCTCAGGAAACTTCATTCACAATGGGGAGCCTGTTTAAGAAGGGGAAAAAAAGCATTACTTTAGAATTATTATTGTTGTTGTTGTTGTTATTTTGGCTTACTGGTACAAAAGGCTAGATTCAGTAGGTAAAAACTTCCAGTTTCGTTCCAAGAATATCATTCCTGCTTTAGAAACATTTGAAAAAAATCAAACTCTTGCCATTTATTCATCCAGATTAAATAAAACTAATCTGTTTTTGGTGCTTTTCTGAACAGATTAAAATCTCAGGTTTTTTTACTCATCAAACGGGCCTGAGCACAGCCTGATTCCTGATTAATCTTATAACTACTGGATTATTTAGACAAAAGAATAGCCCAAAGGTAACAAATCTGCAAGAATTAATCTTGTAAACGCCCCCCTTGAGGCAGCCTGGATGGGCTACCTACATCCAATTTTATCTGATAAAATAAATACCATACAGCATCTCATAAATATTTTGTATTATAAAGGTGTATGAGAAAAGAGGCAATATTAGTAAGAAAAGGTTATAATAAAGAAACCTGTTTCCATATTTAAAACTAATGAGGTGAGGTTGTTCTCACTGATTTGTAAGAATTCTATTTTTTTTTTTAAGAAGCTGGCTTTCAATATTAGAATGTTTTTCGTTTTCCTTTAGCAGGTGGTTCTTAGGGAAAGCTTTTTTTTAAAAAAAAATTCACCAGTACTTGTCCAGTTTTTACTTTGTGATGCATAAGAGTGTAACCATAGTGAAATCCTATACATGTCTACTTAAGTAGTCCCATTCAATTCGTTTATTTGAATTTATTTCAGGTTTATTATTTGAATTTATTTCCAGGTAAATAATTATAGGATAGCAGCTTTCAGGAGAAAGCCGAGGAGAAAGAATTTCAGAAAGCTGATGAATAATTGCAAGCCTCAATAGTTGTGCTTTATGCTTTTGAAGGAGCAAGCCATAGTAATATTAAAGATTTTTCTACGTATTTCCTGCAGCTGAGGTAAATGTTCTTCTGCTTTCTGAATATTTTTCTTATTGTGTCGCCAGCTCCTTTAATTTTAGACAATGCAGGGAGATAACTCAATCTGCTGCTGCTGATTGCAATCGGCTGCCAAGACAATTGATTTAATTCAGTGCTAACCTAGGAAACCAAATTTCACACCAAGATGTGAAAAGTGATTTAAAAGATGACACCGGACTAAATTTAGTCCTGTGCAAACTGTATAAAGAGAATGTGTTTGTGCATCACAGTTGTCTTTTTTCCTTTGCTGTTGAATAACTATATATCGAGGTTTAGCTTGCTCTTATTTCCATTATGCTTTGCAGGCTGATATAAACCCAACAAGGTTTCGACAAACAAAATTATAACGATGGGGCAGGGAAGAAAGCATGAAATAATCAGGGACCAAGGGACAAAACAAAGCAAATGGAAATACGTACAAAATGGCCCAGATTCTCAGAATAGGACATTTTTCTAAGATAATTATTGTAGGGAAGGCAGATCAGGATTCAGAACTTCCTGGTTTGACTAGGTCTCATTCCATACCATTGTCAAAGAGAAGTCTATTTCCCTTTTGGATGGATTGAAAATATGTTCCTCTTATAATCCCAGGGTATGTATCCCCATTGTGAACCAACTGGTGCATTTTGTTCTCTGCTCCCTTCTCACAACTGTTTGCAAGTGTAAAAAAACACTTACAGGCTTCTCCTAAACGTGAGAGGTCTGGAGCTGTGCACCATTACACTGGTGTTCACACTAGTTCTTTGTTTCTTCTGTGTGGAAATTTTTTATTTCCCCCTTTTCCATGGCTAACCCTGGAGAAATAGAAATGAGGAAAAGCTATCATATTTTTAAATGTGTGAACTGGATCTTACTCTTAAGCATCACATCGAATGGTTTGGAGTCTATTTCTTTCTCCTTTAGTGAAGAAATGGTGCTTCAGCTTTTATTGTAAGAATAGGCTAGAGATGGGATTCTACCATTGAAATCCAGAGATTGTAACTCATAAAGAGCCTAAACCATGGGTGTCAAACTCAAGGCCTGGGGGACAGATCTGGCAATCGGGGTGCTTAGATCTGGCCCGTGAACCCACCCCGGAAACAGTGAAGGACTGGCCCGTGGTGCCTCTGCCAGCTCGGGAGGGCCACTTGCAGCTCGCCCGGGGTCCGTTTTTGGCTGTGGTGGCCTCCTGCAGCCCTCTGCCAATGAAAATGGAGGTCAGTGAGGCCACACGCGAGCTGCCCAGGCTTCATTTTCAGCCGCGACAGCCTCCTGCAGCCCTCTGCCAGCGAAAATGAAGCTCGGGGAGGCCACACGCGAGCTGCCCAGGCTCCATTTGCAGCCGCGACAGCCTCCTGCAGCCCTCTGACAGCGAAAATGGAGCCCAGGCGGGCTGCACATGGCCTCCCTGAGTTCCATTTTCACTGGCAAAGGGCTGCAGGAGGTGTCGCGGCCAAAAATGGAGCCTTGATGAGTGATGTCGAGCTGGCCACGCCCACCCTGATTATGCCCCTGGCCACCCCCCCCCCCCCCCCCCCCCCCCCCCCCCCCGAGATCCAACACAACCCTAATGTGGCTGTAAATGAAATTGAGTTTGACACCCCTGGCCTAAACCATCAGAGAGCCATCAGAAATGATGGGCCCAGTAACAAAACCAGGATAAGTCTTTTCATTTCTACCTGGTGGTGGGATTTCTTTCCTTCTATTATTAGAACAATTTATAATGAGCTTTTTATCGGTTGAAGAGGAGGAGGTGTTATGAGACGCCAGGTTTAGCATATGGGAATGTTCTGTAAGATACATTTATGTTGTCTATAGTTTTATAAACTGCCAGAAGGTATCAGATGGAAAAACTGTTTTATAAAGACCCAAGAAATAATGAACTGGTCTGTTGGGCCTATATTTTCTGGAAAACTGCGCTTTTCTTTTAAAAACATTTTTTTTTATAGCAAGGATCATCCTTTTCCAGAAATTATCATCCTTTTCCAAAAACTATGAATGAATACCCTGTTTCCCTGAAAATAAGACATCCCTTGATAATAAGCCCAATCTCACTTTTGAGTGCATGGGCTAAAATAAGCCGCCCCCTGAAAATAAGCCCTCCCCGAAAATATTTAACCACATGCGCAGCTGGTCCCCACCATTTCCTCTGGTTAGGGTTAGGGAGACAGAGCTGGAAATCAGGTAAGATGGTGTTCTACCCCAGCTACGGACCACAAAGCACGCAAGCACACAAAAAGTCCGTAAAAATCTTAGTTTACTAATTAAGGACTACTAATGAGCTTTCTTAGCAGTTGTTCGAACACAAGTACAGTTTAAATCAGTCTTTTCTGAACAAGGGCTGTTAATTTAACTTAATTAACAGCCGACAAGAGTCCAAGGAATAATAATTCAATGCTGAGGCACAGTCTTTCAGATAACCGTAACCTTACTGTGGTTGGCAGAATGCCCAGAAGCAATTTGCAGGAAAAAATGACAAGAGAGAAGCAAGAGCCGATCAGATGTTTCTGGAGTCAATACATGAAGGAATATGAATGAAGTTGTTTTCTACAAATTGCCTCAGTTGTTGTCATTCCTTAAATAAGCTAGGGGAGTGGCCAATTAGCCCCAAGCCTTACTCTTGAGGAGACCTTCTCCTGAGGAGCCATTCCTGCCTTTTGGCAGCTTTGCACGCCCGTGCATTGAGAAGAGGCTCCTCCTCTTCTTCCTCTTCACTTATGAGAGCTTCTGGAGGTTCTGAAGGCTGTGGCTGAATCCCCGCCTCTGGCACCAAATCTTCTCCAGCCTCCTCATTGTCTGACTCAGGTGCCAGCTGCACAGGCTGCTGGCGAATCACCACACCAGCCTCCTCACTGTCGGAATCAGCTACCAGCTGCACAGGCCGCTGGCGGGCCACAACAGATGGCAAGAGGAGCCCCGTCTTGCTCCACCTGTCCCAAAATAATAAGACGTCCCTGAAAATAAAGCCAAGTGCTTATTTTGGGGTTAAGACAGGATCTTATTTTCGGGAAAACATGGTCATTTTTGGGAAACTATTTGCGAATGAATCTTGATTACGAATGAATTTTGCGAATGAACCTTAGCTGCTCAAGAAGTCTTAATTTTGTTAATTTTATTTAATGAACCCTCTTTTTTTCCCCCTTGCAATAATAATGGTTTTCCTCTTGAGGAAACAACACGTTTCTAATCTCCTATCCCATTCTCATAAGTAACTCTACATCCCTACACTTTTTATTTGCGAAATATCTTTTTTTCCTGGGAGATTAACACACTTGTCTTGGGAAATAATGATTAGCTAAAAAAAAAATCCAGAATTTGCTGGTGTAGAGGTGGAATAAAGGAAGGAAATCATTTATTAATGAGGGATCAGTGCCCTTTGGAAGCAGTAAATCTCTTTCTTTCCCACCTTAGATCAAAAACTTGTTCTTATAACAGTTGAGAGTTATAATTTGTAAGCTATGTGGAATGTTTATAGAGACTAAAAGGTGAAGCACTTTGCTATTCTTCTCCCCATTTTAATCTTGGCACAAGATCCATCACTCTTGAATACAGATGCCTTCTTGGAAAAGTTCCCCAGACATTAAAAAAAAAAAAAAAAAGACAATTTCAGAAAGCTGGCTTTGTCAGTGAGATTTGATGACTGAAAGGTGAGCACTTTGGAGGATATAGCCATAGCCCTTAGACTTATATACCGCCCCATAGTGCTTTGCAGCACGCTCTGGGTGGTTTTACAATGTCAGCATATGGCCCCCAACAATCTGGGTCCTCATTTTACTGATCTTTTTACTGATGGAAGGCTGAGTCAACCTCAAGCCAGTCAGGATCGAACCCCTGGCAGTGTTGTGATCTAGACTTCCTGAGTCATTAAAACACACGAGTAGTCCCAAAAACCTCTTTTATTT